GCTGTGTACCAGAAAGACATCTGGGAGGTACCTCAAAATTCCAGTGCCTCCATTTGTTTGGAGAATAATGTTGGTTTTAGATCAATGTGTGTGACTGTGAAATTAATTAAAGGAGAGGACAGTATTTATACATTGTGAATAGATCATTGTAAGGATTAGATAGAAAGATTAAAAAAAATCTATTTTTTTGTAATTTTATTTTTTACTATTAGCTATTTTTATCTTGGAATTTTATATGCTGCTGGCTTTTCAGGTATCTTCTCTCAGCAAGTGGTGGTGTTGCAGGTTCACACAGGCAGAACAATCCTGATAAGCTTGGCTATTTGTGAAAGTAATTTGATGTTGTTGGTTTAGTGGTGAAACTCACAGAATATTCTGAGTTGGAAGAAACTCACAAGGGTCATCAAATCCAACTCAAAATAGACCTGAAAAAGTCAAAAAGTCATATAAGAAAAAAGGGAGTGGATAAGGAGACACCACTCTCTTTTTTGGATTATTTCCTGGAGATAGTCCCTTTTGGAAACTGATCTCTCCAGCCAGGCAGTGCAATATTAATAATTTTTAATGATAATAATGGGTGTTCAACTTTGAGTTTAATATTTGATACATCATTAGGTACCTCTGTGCCATTTTCCAACTGCTATTTGCCATGAGCAGATTTTCCTTACCCCTTTTTTGGATCACAGCTGGGTCTGAGCTGCCACTTCTGTCCCTGCTTGGCTCTTGGTCTGTGCCAAGAGCAGTGCCTGGAGGGCTGGGAATGTGCTGCCAGGCAGCAAGAGGTTCAGAGCCCCAGGGACACCCCAAAGCCCAGCTCCTGCCCTAATGAGCACTTATGCACTCAAGTCCTGGCTTATTTCTCTTCATGAAATTTCCAAATATTTGCAGTTGATCTCCCACAGGCAAGACCTACTTCCTGTGAGACCTGCCCAAGAGCACATTTTGTCTGGAGATTAATTGCAAGTATACCGTGGGTAAACTAGAGTTATTTTTTCTTCAGGTCCTTGCTCCTAAAATATAGCTATTTTTTTTTTTAATAAAAGCAAGATGCAGCCTAATAATTCTTGCATGTAATTTAATCCCCTTCAGCTGTATTTGTAAAATTACCCATTCCATCTAACGCCTGCTAGTTTTACAATTAACAATGGGCACATTAGTTGCACTTCATGCCTTGACTTTTTTCCTTAACAAAAAGTGAATTTATTATAAGCAACTTGTTTTCAAAGTCCTCCCATGAACCATGGAGACTGGTGGTCTGCATTTTCACCTGGCAGCCTTTGGATGCAGGGGACAGGGTTATTTGAATCTTTATTAAAATCATCATTTACACCCTCTAAACTGTTCGAGGTTGTCCCTGGCCAGCCCTAGCACTGTATGAGGCTTCAGTATTGCTCATTTGGCAGGTATGGGGGCTGGAGATGCTGCGGGCTGGCACCTGAGGAGGGTGTTTGGTGCTGTTTGATGCTTGTTTCCCCAGCTCATGGCCCACCAAACCCAGCCCTATGCAAGGGCTGTGGGGCTGCTGCCAGCCCCAGCGAGGATGGGCAGGCTCAGAATGGTGGCTGCTCAATCCCAGAGCCAAGGCAGAGGCTGGGGAACAACAAGGAATTGTTTTATGGTGTACAAATAGGCTTTGGGGTGGCCGGAGGTGCCCTTGCCCCTGGCAGGAGGTTGGGACTGGATGATCTTTGAGGTCCCTTCTAATTCAAATGCTGTGTGAAGGTCAGAGCTGTTAGCAGGCACTCTGAGTATGGAACTTCCCAAACTGTAGAGATAACAAAAGGTAAAACTGGAACAAGTATGAAAGGAAGAATAAAGCAAGACTCATTAAGTAACTTCTAAAGTGTATTCTGTTAAAACATCAATTTACCTTAAGGAAAATTCTCTCTCTGCTCTTGAGCAAGGAGTAGTGAAATGGAGTCTCTTTCATTAACAACAATCTGAAATATGCATGTACGTGCAAACGTGTCAGGATTATTTTTCTTTGTAAAGTGAAGTCACTGTTTGGTTTTCATTATAAAAGGAAATGTGCATATCCTATGGGCTAAGCAAATACAGATGCTATTTTGCACAAAAATACAAACCTAAGTGATTATTTTAACCTGGGCCTACACTGGAGTAAGATTACCACAGCTGAGTATACCAGACACAGACCTCATACCCTGCTATTAAAGCAGCCACAAAAGTATGAGCAGAAATAAATCCAAACTCAGGAAATGCTACATCCCATTTTTCCATTTTTAAACACATTGTAAGGAAAACAGCTGAGAGAATGCTCTGTACTGGCTAAAGTCTTCAGCCTAGGACACAACTCACTGCAGCCACCTGGTGTGGAAGGGATTCATCCCAGGATGATTTTAACAAGTGATGGAAATAAAACCAGAACAAATTACCATTTATCAGTATATGTAAGCAGAAAAAGCCTTCTGCATTAGTTACCACTTCCACCTGACTAGTGAGCGCAGATAACTCAACAGCAACAACAACAAAAAAACTTTGCTAAGGTTCAAGCTCTTCAAGCTGTCACTGAGCAACTGGATGGTGCCCAGCCCCTGGATGCATGTCTCCATCAGCAGGGCAGGGGTGTCCTGACAGCTCAGAGGGGATGAGGGTGCTGAAAGCACCAGGCAGGTCCAGGTGAGCTGGGGAGGTGACCACACTCACCCCTCACACTGGGTGCAGTCAGTCCCAAGGTCTGTTCATGCATCTGTGAATTGAAGAAGAAAATTAACTTTAAACCAGCAGCAAGGCTGTTTCCTACACTCAAATCTCTCAGGAGAAAACTGTAAACAAGGCAAAACAGAGGAAGAATGTGGTATTAGATAAAATATCATAACATCATTCCTATCAAAAGTTTAAATTTGCACATGTTTACATATATACACTTCTGGTTGCATTCACCACCCTACAGTGAGCTTCAGTTTAATAAAACTGTAGTGGTTATAAATGCAAGAGTTCATATTTCATACAGTGACACCTTTGAAGAGCTGGAGGGACTGAGCCAGCATGAAAATGAAAATGTAAATAAAAGGAAATACAATGCCTATGATAAATAGCGAGGGCAGAGGAGGAAGTACCAGTCTTCTGGGTTTGCCATTGAGGTTTCTGTGGTTAATTTATAGGGTATCAGGGAACGAAAGAGGTTGAAAAGAGCTGACTTGAGAGCAAGCACTGAAAGGAAGCAAATAACAAAAAACCCCAAATCTTTGTGGAGAGTGGGGACTATTGAGATGGAGTCTCCTTTTTTCAACCACTCATTTCTTGTTCCTATTTCTCATCCCCATTTGTCATCTCTATTTTAAAGAAGTTTTTCCCCATGCTTTTCTTTCTTTACAGCTTCTGCATTCCTTCGTTTTGTGGCATTAATTCTCTTGAAAAGAAAATGGCTTTTCCCTCTTATTTCACATTACTTTTTCACACATTACACATTACTTGTAGCAAACATTCTTTTTTATCTCCTTTCTTCTAACAGGAGCTATAATTTCTAGATTCTTCATCTTCCCTTTGTGTGGGGAAGGTGTGTCCTTCTGGCTTCTTTTGGCCCCTTGCCAGTCTTCAGACCCTTTTTCTGCACCTTGAACAGCTGATACTCTGTTCAAGTATCCTGAACTGAACAGCACAGTCCTGTGCTGTTACCACCTCTCACCTTTATTCCCCTGCTGTGCAAGGGACCTTCAGAGCAGGACTGAGGAAAACACTTTATCTGTTCAAGGCCTATAAATGCTCATTGTGATGATGCAGATATGGTGGATTAAGAGGATGGCTGAATTCACCAATTTTGAACCAATTTCTTAACACTGACAAAATGAACCTATGTTAATTGTTATTAGCACTTACTGACATGTGCTCTTCCTTAATAATGTTCAATTTAATATGTGTATATTTATGTGTATATATCTGTGTAGAATTAATTAGCTGATGAAATTACACCTTTGGGCTGGTCTGTTCTTTCACTGAGCCAGTCTGCTCTGAATTCATGCCTTTCCTCTATTCAGAGTGACTCTATTCCTTGCAAATTTCTATTTAAATTGTTGGCTTACAGCAGAAATTATTATGTTATGCTAGAGCCGTATAACCTAAAATGTTTTTACAAGGCATGAATTGTGCAGTTTTGACAATAAGGGCAGTGTTTGTTTTTATGCCAAACAACTTTTGGATGTGGGTTGGATTTTAATGTCAGCTGAAGGCTGAATCTGGTCCTTGACATTTAGAGAATCTCAAACTGATAGATATTAAGTATCTACGTATTTGGGCATTGCATACACTTCTGGGGGATGGCAGGGGAAAACATGCATCAAATATGAAGTGAGGTTATGGTAATTCAGGATGTCATAGTATTTTTCTTCCATGTAGAAGAACACTCTCCTGAATAAAATGCATGGAAGTGTTTTTCATTTTTTATCTCTTTCCCCCAGAAGTCCTTGTAAATTCAGGCTGAATTCATTCCAGATTCTGCAACTGTGGACAAAATTTGAATTTCTTCTAGGACCAAAGTGGCCTTCAATATCAAAATGCTAGAACAAGCATTTTGGTTAGCACACAGAGGAGTTTCCCTCACTGTTTACCCTCACTGTTTACCCTCAGTATAAGGTTGTTGTCTGATATGCCTGAGCTTGTCTGCTCTCTCAGGTATATTTGCACAGATTTCTCTAAGGCCAGTCCTTTGGAAGTTCCATTCCTCCATGCTGTTTCAATATTTAGGTATGAAATATCTGTGGTTGCCTTTTGGAGCAATGTGTCTGCTGCTGTCCTGCTGCTCTCAACACCATTTTGGCTCTGTGACTGGGAAGATAATTGGCAGCCCAGGAAGAAATGTGAGCTATTGCTTTACTCCTGTGGCTTTTATTTTGCTTTCAAGAGGTTGGAAATGGTTACACAGATCAGTTCTGTTGGTGGTTTCTTTTTGATCTTTTGCTCTTGAAATCTAGTCTGTCCTATCCATCATGTTAAAAGAGCAAAGGTAACAACCAAAATAAATATTTTCCTGTCTTCTCTTTCAGATAAGATTGAAGATGAATTAGAAATGACGACAGTGTGCCATAGACCCGAGGGACTGGAACAGCTTGAAGCACAAACCAATTTCACTAAAAGAGAACTTCAAGTTCTTTACAGAGGATTTAAAAATGTAAGAACAGTAGCACAGTGAACAGAGTCTAATATGTGTGTCCCCACCAGCCTCAACTGCTCAGCTTGATTTTGTATTATTCCCCTGCTAAGAATTAGTAGTTTTGTATTAGATCTCCCTTACCAGAGCAAAATGAGCAAAATCTGCCTCTCCATTTAATATTTATACTGCAATCTGCCTAAAACTGGATTTGAATGAATATTCAGCACGTAATGGTCTCATTAAACTTGTTCCCCAAATGTCAGCAAGCACACTTCAATTTCCTTAGCTGTGCCAGTACTTGAAGATAACCTGAAAATGTTTTTGTGGCTACTTATTTAAGCCTTGTCGTCTCCTCATCTTCAAAAAGAAGTGCTACTGGTCACTTGTGATTAGCTGCCCAGGATGGAGGTTTCATCCCTTCTCTTGTTTCAGAAATCTTGCTCTTGTAGCAGGATCTTTGTAGAGCACTTTAGCACTTGAAGGTCCTGCATAAATAGAGAATAAGGCTGGAGTGGCAGGAGCCAAAACAAAATCAAAAGCTGGATGTGTGTTAAGACTGAGGAGACCAGAGAGCAGCTGCAGATTTCTGGGCAAGCAGGCAGCAGTGCCAGCTGGCATGACTGGATGTGTAGAGCAGCTCCATGCCCAGCCTTGTGAGCCATGGCTCCAGCCAGGCTCCCTGGGAGCCCTGAGTCTGCAGCCCCCGAGCCTCTGCTGCTGCCTCTTAGGGAATCCTCACAATCAGCAGAAATGGATGGAGAATGTTGAGGCTGCATGGAGCAGACGCTTTATGGACCTTGAAGAATGAGTACTCATTACATGTTTGCCTGAGGGTCAGGATTTAGTCACCCAGGTGGTTTGTGCCAGCTGATGTTTTAATAATGATTAACAGGTCAGAATCAAGCTGGCTCAATAAACACAGAATGGTTTTTATATTCTCTTGCAGGACAGCTCCAGCATTCAGAGACCATCACAGCAAAATGCTGACCTTTCTCAGTCAAGTCTGTTGGGTAAAAACTTGTCAAAAGAAAGCTGAGCTACCTTAAATACAGGCAGTTCTGAGGAACCTGCAGGACTTTAAGAAGAGCCTTTCTTTTTGACAGGTTTTTGAAATTTGATCAAATTACATTTCCAGTGTGTATTATACTTTTCTAAGAGTCTGGTGATTTCACCCTTTATTTCACTGCTCACCTAAGTGGGTCAAAACACAGCTCAGCTACTCTGTATTTTTGTTTGGTGCGTGTGGCAGATTTGTGCTGCCATTGCTGCATGCCGGAGGTCACTTCACATGTGAAGCTGCCTAACTGAACACTGATATCTCTTCATGCTTTTGCCAGTCAGCAGGAAATCACAAGGCTTTTGAGACAGAGCTTGGCACGTTAACGCCCTGATATGACAAGACTGCCTACAGAGGGAGGTTAAACCCTGTTTTACCTGCTAAGATCTCTACAGTGCCTTCTAAATGGCCGTTGCAGGGGGAAGCCTGTGTGGGAGAGCTCTGCTCTGTGCTGGGGGGATTTGCAGCTGCAGATGCAAACCAGTGAGGCAGACCTAGAGCACGCAGGACATTTACCCCCTGCCCTTCCCAATTCTTCTGGCACTTTGCAGTACAGAGGCATTACCTCCCTTGGCAATAGAGGCAGACAAGGGCATTTAACATCTGACCTAAACCTAGGACATCACTGAAGGTCTTGGTATTAATTGGCATTGATGGCAAGGTCTTGGTTTATATCTGGGTATTAGGACAAAGCAGGCAGTTTTCATCCAGCTGATCTGCACATAATATGCACAAAGTGTTGTATCTAAGGTTTAAATTGACATGAAAGTGCAGCTTTAATGCTGGTAGCCTGGTTTCAATGGGATGAGTAATTATGCACAGGAGGCAAGCTGGCTCATCTGTTACCACATTTGCTATTGTACCAAAACGTCTGTTCCTTGGGATGATGTTACAGTGCCATCTGGAGATTCAAAATCCCTGTGGAAATACAGTTATTTTCCTCCCTGCTTGTACTTACTGCTTCCTCTCAGTGATTATTGCACAGGTCCTGTTTATTCACAAGGCAACACCTGGATAATCACAAGTTCTGGCTGCAGAGGATTTGGTGTGCAGGAGCAGGGATGGTGTTCATCCAAAGGCAGCTCAGCACAGCCTGGGCTGGCCTCTGGACTAGTGCTTGACCAGAGTCCTAACTCTCAGTACCTTTAAATTTGTTCTTTCTTTGTCTCTGAATTCTGTTCCCCCACCCCCCTCCAAATCATCTCAGGCTTTACTCCAGGTGTCACTAGTCTGCTCTGGTGGTTTTGCCTCAGGCTGATGGAGGCTGCCAATAAATTTGTCTCCAGAAAAGCTGAGCATGCTAACCAGGTCTGTGGTATTGCTGCCTGGCCAAATGTCTCCTCTCTTTGCCTCCAGCTTCCTTTTCCAGTTGTGAGAGGGTGCCACCCTCCAGTATCTCTTGTTTCCAGGACCATCAGTTCATATTTATCTTAGCAGTTGCCTCTGCCAGCTTGATTCTGCATGATGTGAGTCCTTTGCACCTCTCTGCCAGCTGCGGTCATACTGCAGCCAGACTAATGTGGGGTGTTTGGTCTCATCTCTTTGGCTGGGATTCTACAAAAGCAGCATTACAGACAAACCCAACAGAACCTCTGGTGGGTCTTGCTTTGGTACAGCTCAACAAAAGAAAATGTGATACCTTCTGCCTCCAAAACCACCAGAACTATTTCATCTAAACAGCAATATTGGCACAGGAGCAGAATGGCCATGAATAAGCAAAGGCTGGAATTAGAAGAAAGTTTCTGCCCCCCAGAGGAGTAAAGTTTAGTAGGCAGTTATGGAATTGCAGGAAGGAGAGCAAGGAAGTATTTTTATTATTAAAATTGGTAAACTGATGTCTAATGAAGTGACCAACAATACAGAGATTTGAGCTTGGTAATTCAGGATCTTCCACTTAGGCTATGTTTCTAATGGCTTGCATTCTTTGTAATGGAGTACATGAATTTGAAAGAACTGGGGGTTTGTGAGATTTTTCGCTCTGTTTTGGCGGGTGGAAGGGATTGGTGTGTTGTTAGGGGAAATGCTTTTTAGCTGCAAGAGATAATTTCTTAATACTAAGTCAGGAAACAGCCCAAATAACTGGGGCTGCTGGAGACATCCTTACCTTGCTTTAGTGTATCTTAGCAAATCTGTAACAGAGCGTAGTATGAGATGTAATTGTACCAAAGCAGGATTATGGAGATTAAAGTAAGCAGTACAAGCAAGGGAGAAATGTTCTGATACTTTAATAATCCCCAAAACATCTCCAAAGTGGGAGAACATAGAGCAACAAACTACATGGGATGTATGAGTGCTTAGAGATGCAGGTCTGGATTGTGGGTTTGTCTGTGGTGAGCTCACTTACCACCTCTAATTTAGCAGAATGTGACCCCTGGGTACTTGTCCTCATGTTCTGACCAGGGGAACTGAGGAGGGTCTGACAGGCAGGCCATGCTCAGCTCCCCTGTGGTCTCTGTGTTGCATATCTCTGAAAGCAATCAGTGAAGTTTATTTCTGATTCCAGCAGAAGAAAACTGCAACTGCTGTTTTATTTTCCTCATGGTGTTGTGGGCTGGTGTGTTTGGTTTTTATGTGGATTCAGCTCCTTTGTGGTTTAGTGATTTAAAAGAAGAGGGTAAGTTCAGGGCTTGATAGCCCTGGGAAAATGAGGGGTTTGTTCTGTGCTTGATGACAATACAAAAGACCATGTTCACTGTTTAGCATTTTTAAAGAATTTATAGATTAAGGAAATGAGAGATGTTAACCTAAAACCCTGCTATTAAAGGAAAGCCTTATGCATACTACAGTGAAGGACTGTGTTTTTCTTACTGACAAGTTTTTTCTTGAATGAGTGAACCTTTATTAACTTCAGTGGAATTTAAACTGACATGAAGCTCACCTGCTCTGTTTCACCAGAGAGATTTCTTTCAAGTCAGCAGAATTAAGTAGTACTATAGCACTAATGAGGCCTCTTGAGCATTATTTGGCTTCTATAAAACAAAAATTGTGATCAATTAACTGCAAATGAATTGGTAGTAGCATATGTGTCTGAAAGCAATCCAGTTACAGAGAGCTAAATGGCTGATCAATGTCAGCACTACCTCTCTCCAGCACTCCTAGAGCTGTGATACAAACTTTTATTTAGCTTCCAGATGGAGCATCAGAAGCAATAAGGTTCATGTGTAAACTCAGAAAATTAAACAGGCCCAATGGCTAAAACTGCCAGGATAGCCCTGTGAGAGAGCACAGGTAGAAGCAGCCATGTGCCCATCTCTGGTAATAGACAGAGGGAAGGGACCTCAGGGACTCTGCAGCTATGGGAAACATAGAGAAAAGAATGATTCCTCATCTACAAACCATCTTTCAGCGGGTGAAGTTGTGGTTTGTAGAGAACCTACTAGTTGTGGTTCACAACTAGTGAGAGAGGAGGAAAGAAGGAAAGGAGGACAGAAGGAAATAAATCTCAGTGTAGCGCTGTGCTGGAAAGGATGCGCCAATTCTGTTAGCATTCAGGAACACATAATCAGGGGATGATTATATGAAGGTGCTTTATTAAGAGCTCTGGGGGTCAGGGGTACACATACCCCAATCTGACCCAACTTGGTTTTGAGTTGAACATGTTTTTATACTCTATCATTATATAACTTACATATTAATTATTAAATTTACACTGTTCTGTATGCATTGTATGCATTGATTTTACCCGAGCATGGATTTCTTGTGATCCCCCCCCAAACCCCTAACATAGTTTCTCATGATTCTTTAAACAATAATTATATCTAATCACATCTAACAATTGTATCATTTATCCTATACTGACTACACAAGCGCAGTTTCACATGATCTTAGCAAGCACAAGGCCTAACATTTCCCAGGGCCTACTTTTAACACTTTTCCCAGGGCTTGCCAAGCCTAACTTTCTTTCTAATTCCCCAAATTTTCTATGATTTTAAAATCTTTTACTATCAGTTGTGCCAGGCTTGCTTTTCAAAAGAATAACAATTTGGTGAAATACTCTGCAAGGGGCCCTGTGTGATCTTGTAGCAACAGCACTTCAGTGACCAAGGAGAACACTTTTACCCAAGAATGGCTGTACATATGATTCTGGGTCTGATCAATGATTAAAAGATACCATAAATAAATATCAGATTATTTATTTAATGTATGTTAGGTTACAAGCTTCAGGAAATATGAATGTTTAGGAAATATTTGGGAGAATCTCATATGGTAGCTCTTAGCCTCTATTTAATTATATTCCTTTGGTGATTTCTGCTTTACAGATGAAAAAGTAGCCACTTTTCTCATGATAAGGAAACCAGCCAATGGATATTTTGAGGTGCTTTGGAACAGTCTGAGAACACCCATCTAACTAGGAACCTTGCAACCCACAAAATCACAAGCAGCACACAGAAAAATGGTCAGATTGACTGTTTGCTCACTCTGTCTAGACAGCAGTTCAGGACTGACAGGCAAGGTAGTAGGAGTCAGGGTCTGAGAATGGAAAGCTGGTGGTTCCTTGTGCAAAGGGTTATGTTTAGGTCCCAGCTGAGGGACCTGTGTTAAGGTGAGGCAAGCATCACAGCATGACACAGAGAGGGATGCATGTAGTGTGTATAGTGCCAGGAGCAGAGGGACTTTCTTAATCCCAAGTCTGCCCTTCAGCTCAGTTTAAGCATCCAGCCAGGATAAATGTGCCAGATCTGTGAGTTTTGTGAGAGAGCCAGCCTGCTCAGATAATCCATCTCCAGCACATCCTACCAGCAGGGACAGTGCTCTTGCTCCCTCCTCCCTCCCTGATGAGAGCCTGGGGAGTTAAATGGCTGAGTGGGGTCAGTGCTGCAGCAGGACACAGACCCCATTGACCAGTGGCTATGAGTGTGGAAGGAAGATGACTTCTCTGTGTCTGTAATTCTGTGCTCTGTGGAAAAGGCTGAATGCTGCAATTATTTTATTGGTTTGCTCTGGTTTAGTTTTCAAAATTGGTTGATAGGTGAATTTGAAGAATAGTGCCATCAACTGGGAAGTGTTTTCTGAAAGTACCACATGGTTTGATAGCAGTGCCCAAGGCCCTGTAATGTATGTTATAGCAGCACTGAGCTGGTGGAGGTGTGTTTATTATTTGGGTTCGTTGATAAGGACCTACCAGTGTGCTATGGACTGTTTGCCTCTGTGGATCTGGTGTCAGGCTTCTGGCTACAGACTGCTGCTGAGGATTAATGGGTTCATGACTGTGAAGGCATTAGGGAGGTGTTAACTGGCATGAACATTATTTGTAATTATTAGATGAAAGTTTCATATGACAGAAGGCATGAGCTGCCTTTCTAGGTCATTCTATAAAACAGCAATGAAGCTGCTGAAAACACAGTTAGAAATGTTAATAATGGTGAACCAGCTTTGTGAGATGCTGAAGATGAAACTGCAGTCTGAATTACTTTAATTTCTCCAGCTGCACAACCTGTGCATGCAGAGCACTGTGAGAACAGAAAGGTGATTTGTTTCATTGCTCTCTTCAGGCTTGTAGAGTTTTGCAAATGAACCTTTACAAACCTGTGCTTTTCTTGATTATTTTTCTCTTTTTTTTTCCCTTTTGTTTTCCAACAGGAATGTCCTAGTGGGGTTGTTAATGAAGAAACATTCAAACAGATCTATGCACAGTTTTTTCCTCATGGAGGTAAGTGGAGTGCTTTGTGCCTATCAGGCTCTTGAAGCCCTAACGTTGCCTACTGCCAGCCGGCTGCAGAACTGCTGCAGATCATCTCTGAGAAGTGGGAGCTGAGCTGAAGCTTTGAGGGGTTTTAGACAGAAACACAAACATCAAGGTAATAAACTTTTAAGCCCTTTAAACAGTTATTTAACATAGGAAAACCTCAATAAAGATTGCCCCTCAATGTCTTTATTCCCCAGGTCCAAAATAAAAACTGGGGTAACTGCTTTGCTGCATTCTGACTGTGTTGGCAGAAAGTAGAATTGTTTCCCTCGGTGCTTCCCTGCTATTTGACTGCTGGGCATGTAGTGCGTAGCACAGGAGGGTCCCAGACTTCTTTTTGGCCTGAAAATTAATCAAAACCTCCTTAAAATTCTTAAAGCAGTTTTTAGTTGATAAATAAACTCCTGGCTACCTGAAATGATCATTTTTGGTGTTTATGTGGCTATGACAGGGCCATGTCATGAACAGGCATATTAAGGTATTGTATTAAATCTGTCAAATAATACATATTATTGTCCTTTAAGAACATCAAGAATCTATATATTCTAGATGGATATGTCCTGTGGGGATACTGTTCTCAAATTGAAAGAAATGAGTCATTTAAGTGGCTTTTTAGAAAAAAATTAAGTATTTGAGACTTTCCAAAATACCCCACTCTTTAGTAGCTGCACTCTTTGGGGAATGGTGACTGATCTTTCTGCAAGGGTGTATGTCTGCATATGCATTTACCTAAAGAAGGTCATTAACAAATGTTTTTTCAACTAAATGTCAAAATAAAACACATTATGCTTATGTTTGTGACCTTAAAGAAGTACACCTCATCCCATACAAGTGACCTCAAAGAAGCACACCTATTAAAAGTTTGCATTAAATTTCAGTATGAATTTGATTATTTCCTGTTGTGATTTTCTAAACCCAGCAGTTTAGGATTCAAAAGGACAAAAATATGCCTCTAGGTGAGATTGCTCTCCAGCAGTCACGGGTGAAAATCAAGTAACTGGAGCAAGACCCTTCTGAAGCTGGGTATTCCCTGGGGGGTCTCTACTGTGTCTCCCACAAAACAAAAAGGTAGAGAAAGGATGCTGCAGATTGCAGTCACTCTTTGGTATCTTTGCTGTGTTTCCCACCATTTGAACCAGAGACGCTCTGGGATGGTTGGGGATTTTCTGCTCATTCTTTCAGGTGCTGCCCCAAAATCCATGTAGTTTCTACTGCAGTATAAGCTTTTGCATTTCAAAATATTTTACCTGTTTTAAGGGAGGGTGCCAGGATTTTGCAAGTCCATGATAACTTTTACTGATTCATAGAATACCTGGCAGTGCTTCAGGATTGAGTTATACACAGAAGGAAAATAAGTTTGTGGCTTGTTTAGAGCCACCCATGTATGATGAGCCGCTGTCACTGCCCTTTGTGCCTTTCAGATGCCAGCATGTATGCACATTACCTCTTCAACGCTTTTGACACTGCACAGAACGGCTCCGTGAAGTTCGAGGTGATCTCTTGACATCTTCCTTCCATGCCACTTTCTCTATTTTGTGCTTTTAACCTTTTCTGTCCATTCTTCACTGCAAAGTAGTAGGACTTGTTGGATTAAGTGTTACAAGTTTCAGTCTAAAGTCAGTCGATATTTTCAAATCTGGTTCACTTTCGTATATGCAGATGCAGTTCTGTGTCAGTAAAGAAAGATCTAGATTGTGCTAGTTAAGATCAGAGGGAGAAAATGCAGAGGTTTATGCAGCAGAGAGGCATGGCTGAGGAGAGTCCCATGTGAAATGAGATGAGGGACACAGAGACATTGCAGCTGGTACCTTCTGCAGTCATGATGCATTGCATGATGTCTTGAGCAAGCATCTCAGGTACTGGGATAATAAATGCACCCTTTAACTAAAAGGCATGTTGCAGTGGCTACACACAACCTCTCTTCATGCTCAGCCCATAGCTGCAGGTGTGCAGCAAAGGGATATATTAAATCATAGACTTCTAGAGGATGAACTTCACAGTTTTGAAGATTATAGAACTCCTATAAAACTACATATCACAGGCAGTCCTGCCTTTGCTGTCAAATGGTCAAAACCTCTGGTAATTTCCAGAAGAGACTGGGAATCGTGTTTGTTCATTAAATGTAAAATGAGGTGTGTGGCAAGGGCTGCAGTGGGAGATTTGCATGGGGCAGCTCCCCAGTAGCTAAAGGTGTTCAGAAACCTAAACAGACTGAGAACAGGAAAAATGCTGTTAAGAGAAACAAACAAACAAAAAACACCAAACCTAGAAAGTGCTGAACTTTCACTCCTGGCCGATGTGTCTCTTAACTGGTTGTCAAACATCAGAATTTTGTTCCCTTCTTTGTATTGTTCAACAAATTCAAATTAATCAGAGGCTTAGCAAAAAGGAACAGAGGTTTCTAAGCAGTGCTGCACTGCCCCATGCAGAGCTCATGGAGGTGACTAAAGATATTAAATGAGTTATCAGGACCTGTATAACTCTGTTAGCCTGAAGCTCTGCCTGTGCTAAAAATCCCCTGTAGCTATGATAGTCTCAGTGCCTGAGCCACCATGCAGTAAAAGTAATAAATCACAGTTATCAGAAACAGTAACTTTACTGTAAGCAAAGAAAACCAAGTAAAATTATGTGTGCCACACTGAGTAATTAGTGGTGGGAATCACGTCTGGTCAATTCTGGCAGATTTTGCCAGAGAACAAAATCTAAGGCTCCCTGTGTCAGAGGAGTTTCTGTCTCATATAGGATTTTCTCTCTTCTTTGCCAGCACCTCAATCTGGAGGTAAGAAAGCATCAGCTTTTATTTCCATAGGCACAGTCCAACTGTGTTTAACCAGGTGGTGGCAATCTGAGGGACAGCTCCTTGCAGCAGGGAGGAGAACGGTCACTGGAGCACCTGGCAGTGCTCTTTGAACCAAACATCTCAGTGAATGCTTCAGCCATTGAGCTCAGTCAGAGAGGACAAATTTTTGGAAAAGAGAGCTAGAAGAGATTGATAAGCATATGCTCCATCCTAAAAAGAGAAATTTTTTGACTGGTGTTGCATGAAGAAGGTGACATAGAAAAGGAAGTTATGAGAATTCACACTTCTCTCTCTGCCCCAAACCAGGATTTTGTGATGGCATTGTCCATTCTGCTACGGGGAACTGTTCATGAAAAGCTGAGATGGACATTTAATCTGTATGACATAAATAAGGACGGCTGTATAAACAAGGAGGTAAGTTTTTTCCTGACAAATGTGGTTGATTTTGGAAGGGAGAATTGATTGGGTTTTGTTGCAGAACACAATTAATTTTACAGGCAGCTAATGAAATGCAACTCAGAGTGGACTCAAGCATTTGTCTATGTCTAAGCAAAGTGCACAGTGATCTTATGGCATGATTTTCTTGACATATTTTTCCTATATTATGATACCTTTACTGAATTTTTTTAGCCAGGAGCAAAATTCTGGTTACAGCTCTGAGCCACATAACCTTTGTGAAGGGGAGGGTGATGGTGGCAGTGCTTGGTGACTGAGGTTCAAGGGCTTGCTTTCTGCACAGGCAGGTACTATGAGGGTCATCTGAAGCAGCACAAGCCTCCAGCACCACTTTCAAATCCTGCATTGTCATCTGTTTTTGTCTTCTTTTCTGGTATTGCTTGTTCCCATTATGGGAGGCCTTGGTTTTGAGCACGGTGACCCTGAATACATGTCAAATACATCTTGGTTCACTCAAACCCATTGTGCATCCCTGGAGGGTTTGCAGTTACTGCCATGGGCTGTGGAGATAAGGGGCAATTTGTGCAAGGCATGGGGAGGGACCAGATTCCCAGTTCCAGCCGTGAAGGTCCCTGGACCTGGAGGAGGCCATGGGGATTGGGTTGGTGCCACAGTGCAGGGCTGAGCACAGCCCTTGCTCCCAGAAAGGCCAGGGGAGTTGACGGAACACTGGCAGCATGTGGCAGGGGGAACAGAGGGAAGCAATTCTCTCTATAGGATGTTTATGTGTCTGGTACATCTGTCTCCGTACACACGCACAGACATTCCAGGTGCTGGTTTGTCATAGGAGAAGGAGTGTGAAGAATAGGGCAGCACAAGACAGAAATGGGCTCTCATTTCTCTTCACTTCCTTTTTGTGTTTGCGCTGGCATGCTGCCATGGCAGGAAATGATGGATATCGTAAAGGCAATTTATGATATGATGGGAAAATACACATATCCAGTGCTCAAGGAGGATGCACCAAGGCAGCATGTAGAAGTGTTTTTCCAGGTACCTGGGTTTTTCTTAACATTTGAGCTATGCACTGAAAGATTTTCCTATAAATTTGAGTTTATATCTTGTTATATATTCCAAAATGAACCCTAGCAGCCACTCAGCATAGCACTGCAATGCCTGCTGATTTCCTGGCTCCAAAGGTTTCTGCCTGGTCTCTTAGCCTGACCCTTTGCCTTGGGGAGTGCCATGTCCAGTAAGTCTGAAGCTTCTGCATGTGTTGCATCCCTTCTGTGCTGCTTCTCTCAGCTGACTGACAGGACAGTGGGTGGGGGTCAGGCAATGAATAAATAAATGATGGAATAAGGACAGAGGTTCCCATGTGTGTCAAGAAAGCAGTTAGAGACGACCCTGAAAGTGCTCCAAATCCCATAGTAAACAAGTCCTTAGCAGCTGGCCAATCCAACACTGAGTCTGTGGGCTAAGCTTGTTAAGTGCTTAGCTTTATTCAGATTGCATCAACTAAGATCCTGTACTGCAACAGTAGTGTTACCAATGTAAACTAATTTTTACATTATTTTATTTTGCAGAAAATGGATAAAAACAAAGATGGAGTTGTAACTCTAGATGAGTTTATTGAATCATGTCAGGAGGTAAGGACTAAAGTACAGCTGCAAGGAAAGCTCTATCTCATGTCACATCATTTGCTTCCCTTTGGATAAACTCTATTTGAAACAAGATGCTTCTCAGGATCCTGAGTTTTCTTTGCTCTGTGGAAAAAAAAAACCCCAAACCAAAACAGCTTCAAGACTGTGATGCCCTGTGAAGCCTGTGACTCAATAGAGAGGTAGGGTCAGGTAGAATATGAGAGATGATATTTTCATGTGCAGTACTGGGACCAGTCTTTTTATTTTCCTGAGAGGACTGCAGTGCCAGATTTGATAGGCAAGCAGACATCTGTAGAGAAAGTTCTTAACTGTCTTGGGTTGTTTTGGGTTTTTGTTGGTTTGGTTTTGGGTTTTTATTTGCCTTCTTTTTGAGACTGCTGCTGTCTCTATGTGCTAACATTGACATGTCATTACCAGGCACCACATTGCTGGTACTCCTCAGAGTTAAAGGTGTCTCAAATTCTTGCAATTATAGCATTGAGTTATAAAACCAATGTTTTCATGGTCAAACATTAAAAGCAAATTCTGTCATCATAGCAATGATTTTAATTTTTCTCTGTTTTGGAAGTAAGCCCCCTCTTGCAAATTCCATATATAAGGTTGGCTATGATAAGTTTTTGTTGGTACTTTTAGCACTGGCACAAAGAAGTATCTGCATTAACATGCAATTGGCCTAATATCTGTTGTCTTAGACCTTGATTGTGTGAATATTTGCTCAGAGTTATCTCTAATATTTGGCCAGTATAATAATGATGTATAAAGAAAACCTCTGCCTTTTGGAATGTTTATATTGGTGCACAGAATTGCATATTGGTCCTTCTGTGTACTTTATGTTGCCTGGAAAATTCTTTCCAGTTCTGCAGCCAGACAACTCTTCTGTCCCTGAGCAAGGGGAAGGTGCTCATTGTGGAGGGCTGGGCTGGCTTCTGCTGCTTTGGTGTCAAACCAAGGAGACATCCAGTCTCATTCAGGGACTTCAGGCAGCAAAATTCTTGTTTAGCAGAAGCATAATAGAAGGCTAATGTTTTTCAGTTACTTCATTCTTGGTCCCTCCTGATTGTTTGGCTTATTTTTAGCACCATCTTTATTTGATCATTTGTTTTGTATATTATTATTCACATTCTTAACTTGTCTGTAGATGTGTGTATGATTAGTGGTCTCAGTATTGAAGCTGTTTTACTTCACCTATAACTGTGAGAGCTCTAGTTCTCTGTCCCCTTTTGGGTTTGGTTCCTTCTGTTGCCGTCCTGGCCTCCCTGGGAGCTGGGCAGGCTGGTGGCACTGTCAGCTGCTGTTCCCTGGCAGGCTGGAGCAAGCCCTGCAACACCAAGATTTATTCTTCTTATCTTTATGAAAAACAACCCAAAGTGCTCACCTGTGCCATTGCAGTGGCTCTGCAGGACCCTGCCAGGGATGATTGCAGGGTGATCAATCACCTGAGGGTGATTGGCTTCCTGTGCCAGGTGGTGCCTTGCACCCACTGAGTGAGCAGTGACAGGGATGATGCAGCCTCACAAAATGACTGAGGAATGCAGTCCAATAGATCTCTCAATGTGGAAAATTGTTTTCATGTTATGGGCAAACAGCTGTTCTAACTTTTGGAATAACTGAATTCCTGGGGCGGGGGTGGTGGAAACCATCATGTGTTTGAATACTAATCTGGTTCTTATCTCAAAGTAAAATTCCAATACTTCAGGAGAAATAATCCAGGATTTCCCTTGTGTCTGTCTGGAACTTTCTCATTTGGCTCTAGGAGCCTCAGAGAGGCTGAGGTTGCACAGATTGCATGTGTTTTAGGTTTGAGCTGGAATTTCTGGCAGGAAGTGCTCCCTCAAGGCAGTTTGCTTGTCAGTTCAAGACCTACCATTCCATTTGGGCTTGTGGAGCACATTAGCCAAGAGCACGTTTGCACTCCCAGGGTCAGGGACATCTGAGGCTTGGGCACAGGCACTAGCCCACTGCCCTGCCTGGCACAGCCTGTGCTGGACGTCAGGCTCAGGAGAAGACCCTGTGTTTGGTGTGCCTCAAGCCAACCCAGGACTGAGGTACAAAGCCAGCTGCTGTGCTGGATCAGGCCTGGGCACTGAAAGCATTCCCAGAGCAAGGCTGCTGCCTGCAGGAGCAGCTGCAGAGTTCCTTGGTGCCAAGGCAGAGTCTTGAATTCTGCTTGTCCATGCTGGTTTCATGGAAATATCTTTTCCTTGCTTTCAGGATGACAATATCATGCGATCCTTACAGCTCTTTGAGAATGTCATGTAACCAGATGAGCACTGGGGGAGTCTGAGACTTCTGTGTAACAAAGATCTCCTTTCTGGGTCAAAGATTCTACAATTGAGCCATATCCAGTGAGGATTTTGTATGGCATGTCCAACCAAATGGCAACTGAATGCAGCTGATCCCAACTCTTCTCCCCAGAAGATGCTGGTGGACCTTTGTTTCGTTTTGGAAGCATGTGAATATTTTAACAAATCCCAACAAGAGAGAACTGCAGCTTGAAGTTCAATGAGTAATACAGAGCATTGTTTTCTAGGCACAAGTCCTGCTTTTAATCTAGCAAGCTTAGTTCTCTATGATAGCCCATGTTGATAGCTATTCAGCCATCTATTGCAAGTGACAGCTCAGTCCATGCCTCTGTTCAGCACAATGTTCTGTGGATGCCTTGCTGTTAATCTGCTTTGACAAAACCCAACCTACAAGGGCAGTCTGTGAAAAAATGAACAGTCCATGTATCTGGGACATTAAACAGACAGCCCATGTAGCCAGTATCCCTATTTCTGCAGAGATCCTGCTTATCCTCTCACATGCACTGGTACCATCATGCTGAGTTTAGTGGAGTTCTTCCTGAGTACTTTATCGAGGTGATCTTCATGCCAGGGTGAGCCAGAAAGGAGCAGAACATGTTGCACATGAGTATAAAAGTACAGAATAAATCCTGTTCAGGAATGGTAAGTTCCCAAGAGACCAGGCAGGTGTGTAATGGCTGGTACAGAAAGATGAGCACCTGCTCTAGTCCCAGCCTCCTGCTGAGTCCCAGGGACACCAGGTGGTGCTCCACTGTGCTTCTCCACAGCACCACCATGTGCTCTGGTTCTATTGCTGTAGTTTGGCACACACTTCCTACGTTTATCACTGGATGTTACAGTAACGTCTTGCCCCCTTTATGGATTAATTTAAGCTTTCTTGTTTGACTTAGTGAATAACAAAGGCGCAGCTGTGTTTCAACATACAGACCTTGGCACCCATAAAGTGCCCAGCACATTTGATTGGGAGATCTTGAATAGTTATTAGCCTCAGAATCAGCTGCCAGGCCCATATTTTTTTTTCCTACAAGGTGATTGTACTTGTACAAGACCCATATCTTTGCTAATGTCAAGTAAAGTATTGGTTTAGGGGTTTGGTTTTTTAATTAATGAAACAGAAAAGCTCATGTAGTGAATTTGCACCAAGGCTGGATGATTTGTCAGCTGGGAAATGTCAGATCCTTCTGTGAAGAAGCCTCCTAGGAAAGCTGACCCACCAGTGCCATTCCCCATCTCCAGGAAGATGATGGCTGAGAAGAGAAGGGAAGGAGGGAACAACCAACTTTTCCAGCTGTTCAAACCATGCAGATGGGACAGTCCCTGCTGTAGTGCTGCATCACTCCCATCCAGTAAGCATCTGTTTTTATTGTATCACATACAATATTACAGACCAAGTGTTAGCGCTGAAGAAATATTTTAAGAATTATGTGTGTGGAAGGTTTCTATAATATGGAATATATAGTATGCCTCAGTTCTGTAGCCCTAATTTTATAAAAATTTAATCTATTGAAGCATTCCTGATTATAGAAGAAGGTCTGATCAGTCCTGATATAATGATAATGCTACTTCCCCAAGATGGGGTATTTTCCCCTTTTACTGTGCTCCTCCATACACTTCTGTATAGTCATAACTTTATTTCTTTAAGTTTTCCCCTTGTCATCAAAAGTGCTGTTCAAGTGAAGTTACATGTCTGCAGGAATGACACCTTCATCCATCTTGTTTATGCCTTTCATACCATTAAGTACCATTAATGAATTCTTCCCAGCAGTGATCCAGCAGCTCTGGTGAAGGACTGGGGTTTGCAGGAGGGATGCCATGCTAGGGGAGTACCTTTCTTCCAGTTGTTGGGTATTGTCATTTAGGCTGTAATAACAGGCACTTGGTAAAGGCATCAGTTGTAGCTGAAATAATAATACACAGTTTACACCATTCCTTCTTGATTCTTCTTGCAATCACTTTAGCAAATGGCAGAAATTAATATAACTACCAGGTTTTCCTTCCCACCAAAACTGCTTAGTCTAAGCAGTTCATTCCAGCAGAGGGAGAAGTGCTCAGGACAATAGAAGTTAAGGATTTGAATCAGGCTAGCACAGTGCCTTTTTCCTCTAACAGTCTTGCTTCAAGTGTGCTTATGAGATGGCACATATAGACAGAAATGTTTGGAATGTACCCTTTTCAAAAGAAAATTAGTTGTATGATGCCATAGACCTTGAAGCTAATTTTATTTCTGGAGTTACTGTGATGCATTTGTCCCCAGCTGTGTTTCCTGGCCCCGCTGGCAGCAGTTCTGTGGGGGCTGCCTTTGTCACCAGGGCTGTCACTGCTTTCTCTGGAGTGTGGCTCCAACTCAGCATCAAACAACTGGTGTCACTGTCATGGTGTGCATTGCTGAAATCAGGGTCCTAGCACCGACCCTGCACTTCTGCTATCTCCTTTGCTGCTCCACTGTGCCTGCTTTTCACTGCTAGGAACAATGAGGGTGAACCAGGTAGAGAGGAAATGCTGACAGCCACACCGAGTCTGCCCTTAGAGCATAACAAGCTTTGATTAGGATCCCACTGGAATCAGACCCCTCCCACACACTCCTGATGTTCAGCCTGGGTTGAGCTCTGTGCTTCACCTGAGGTAGCTAAGACAGGAAGAATTGCAAAGTGTCACCCACAGCTGTGTTTTCCTAAAGCTCAGGTTGCAGAATCTATCTGTGGCAGAGCCCTTGCCACTGCAAACCCAATTATTTCCCTGATCCCACTGTTTGTCCCTGATCCCACTGTTACAGCCAGTGGCTGGGATGCACCAGCGCATAGAAGACCTCTTGGTTTTCCATCAACAGCATCTGTCCATGGCAGGTGTGCTTCAGACAGCAGGTGAGACATCAGTGACTGTGAGAGAGCTGCTCTCTGCATGGAAATGGCTTTGCATTTGTTTTTCATGTTTTCTGTAAACTTGCTGAGCCTCCACTTGCTCATAAACGGGGCTTGCAATATTTATGACAAACACTACTGCAGATTTCTAAATAAAACACACTATGCTACCCCAGTCTCCCACCCTCATCAATCCTCCTGCCAGTAGGCAGAAAGCAGTTCCTGTTACAGTCAGATTCTGTCAGTGCTATCAAATGTGCGCTTTTCCTCCAAGTTATGAATGTTTAAATAATGTCTGAATCAGGACTCTGACTGTTTCACTAGTTAAAAACATTAGTCTGCATCTTCATGCCAGCATTTTATAAAGAAAGCCTTTCTAATGTGAATTTTAGGTAACAATCTGTTGACAAATAGGAATGTGATAAATGATGAGAAAAAAAAGAAAAAAACTACTGTGCCTGTTCTATGGCTGTTTGCTTTCCTGTTCCTCTGAATGCAATGCAGTATTGTGAGTAATCATGAGCCAGGCTAAAAGCCTGAGACACAAATACGCTGAGGTTCAGGCATCATGGGCAGAGACATTTCCTGACTGAAGTACGTGTTGAGAACAAACACCCTTGTGTCCATGAGTCGCCTCTAATAAGATGGTAGCAGCAGTGTGTCAAACTTTGCTTCTTCTTTATGGAAGTGCCATGAAAGACATAAGGATATGTGCAAATAATGTAAATTGCGATAACTAAAGCCATGTTAATGGATCAGCCATGTACAACTTCATTGTTACAAATGCTATTCTCTGATGGCAATTTGCATTCAATTTTGTTGAATGGTTTTAAAGATGTTGGTTTTAATAATAAAAAGAAATAGCTGTAGGAAGGTGTCCTTTCTTAAACACCATATGTATTTTTTCTCAAGGGACACTGTCAGGTTAAAAATTTTCAATTAAACTTTTCAAAGTGGGACTCAAACGTATCCATGCATGTGGGGGCTGTGAAACAGCTGTGAGCTAACACATGCCAATGATTCATTTGCATCACTGATTCAGGGGTGCTCTTACATTTGATGTGGTGACATACACTGAACTGATGGTTTGGCCCTTGTGTAAAGTTCAGAAATGTTCTTCTACCTGCAGCACTGATAGTAGCTTAGGGGAGTGAAAACTTAAAACTTACAGGCGTTGTCTTTTCCCTTCTGCAGTTCTGTCTAACTATAAGCAGGAAAGCAGACAATTGCTTTGAAAAACAAAATGTAAACACTATGTTATCGATAAGAAAAATAATCCAAAACCTCACAGTGTCCCTTTAGCTTTGGTTTATGGTAAGCACCTATTCTGACACATGAGGAGTGCAGAAGTGACTTTGCCAGACGATATATATGTGTGTACATATATATATATATGTTTGCTAAACTCCATTTTGTAGGGTATTATCTGTCTACCAATACACCTCAGGAAAAAGAACATTCATCCATGCAGAAATATGAAAATAAAGGTGTCTATGTGAAACGTGGTCTTGGTGTCACTGCAGTGCCTGCCCAGCACCCACACCTGCAGGGACCTCCTGCTCCCAGAGACAGCAGTGCCCTCTGAGCAATGCCAGATGGGAATTCTTGCTCCCTCCCCAAGAAGAAGATGTGCTAAGTGCCTGTTCAACACCTTTCACATCCTGGGATGTGCATGGGAGCTGCAGGAGCAGAAATTCTGTCTGATAGGGAGCTGGTGATGGACTCACCCCTGCTGCTTGGCCAGGAGAGGCTGATTCTCTACAAACTTCTTCTCTCTAACCCTGCCCCATCAACCTCCAGGAGGTGGGAAATAATAAACTGCAGCTCTCCAGAACCTCAGTGCATGTGCTTATTTCCAGCCTGTCCCATTAAAACTTCCCTTGTTGTCTTGCAGAGGAAAAGTCTGTCTTTCTCCATCTGTTGTCCATTGCTCTCCATTGTCATCCAATTCTTCTTGTAGAGGCTGGGAATTGCTGTGGGGCTCTGGCTGGAAGCTGCCAGGGCAAGAAGGTGCCCCTTGAGCACAAGGTGAGTTGTCACATTGCCTGGGACATTCTCCTGGGAACTCACCTGCTGTCCTGTCCCTGTGCACAGCAGCCTGTGAGGAGCCTGGGGGCACGAGGTGATCCGCACTCCTTGTTCAGAACAAGGGCTTCTGCACGGGCTCACAGGGCTCCTGGTGGTGGGGAGAGGGGGATGTTTCCTTTAGAACCTGGGACACTTCCAAACTTACTTGTTGGGATTTGCACTAACAGCCAGCAGCATGAAATGGAGAAGGGGAGCAGGAATCCGCTTTGCTCTGCTCTGAAGTTTGGCTGCAGAAGATGGGCCTGGATGGTCACTGCCCTCACCCAGATAACAAAGCAGGAGAATGAGACTGAACTCTCAGCTGTGAGCTTCCTTCCCTGCAGCACAGCTTTTCCCAGGACCCTTCCAAACCCAGCCCCAGTTCCCTCTGGCTTGGCTGATGGAGCAGGGATACACTGCCCAAGCAGTCTGTACTCGCTCCTTACATTGCAGCGAGCTCAGGAGTGAATACATTGGTGTGAAGGATGCAGGGGAAGGGCCCACTGTTTGTAATGTCCAGTCATCTTGTTGTTAAAATGTCTGTGAAAAGTTAGTGCTCATCCTGAGTTTGCCAGAAGAATAATAAGTTATTGAAAAATGTTGATTTTAAAAAAAATCCAAGATTTTACAATCCCAGGATTAAATTGAATTTGTTGACATTTTCACAGAAACTGATCCAACCTTTGTATTCTAATTATCTTCTTGATTTACTTATGAATCTGTATAAATTGAAAATATATAACCGTGTAAATATACACAAAGATAAATGTCAGCACAATGTTTTCTGTCCCTATGGATGCTAGCTTTGGAGCAGGCTGCAGAGAGCTGCAGAAACTGCAGGCCCATGGCCTCTCAGTCCTGCCTGAGAAGCTAGCCTGGGAAATTCAAAGGAGGATTTCAAAACAATCCTCAGAGACAGAAAACAACTGCCAGGTGCTGTTTGTCTGTCCTCTTGTTTTCCTTGCAGGAGAAAGTCAGGCAGGTGGTGAACCCCACTGACCAATGAGGGTGATGTAGCACTTTACTAACCAATAAGAGTTTCCTTTCTATATTTTCCACGTATCTGTCTATAAGACAAGCCTAGAGCAATAAACTAGAGGAATTCTCCTGTTGTGACTCCCTTGACAGTCCATGTCATTCTTTATCGCCGTTCCCAATCAGAACGACATGTCCCAACAAATCTTCTAAATTTTAGAGAACTCACAACACAAAAAAGTACCAAAGCCTTGTTTCCTTCCACGACACAAGCTGTTATGGAAAAGCATTTGTTACCAACAGTTATAATTAAGAAGAATATTACCCATTGTGGTGGGTGAGCATTGCATTGGTGGGAGACACACTGTCTGTGCTGTAACTGATAAAGAGGAAAACTTTTTTTGAAAAACCCATCTGAGTGTATGACAGAGTTGCAAAAATACTTCTAAATTGTTCTCAATGTTTGTTTCAGACTTTTTAAAATTTACCTCACTTTATTTGCCTTATTTTATTTTGCACTAAACAGTGATATTGTAATGCTTAAACCTTGAAGAACATCTGCTACAAAAATGTCACTGAATTGTTTTCCGTTCCTTTGATATTCAAATGACAAAGCTGTGCACAAACAAATGAGATGCTTTGAAAGGCAAGGAAGGTAAGAGTTTTCTATCTCAGCAATACTTTGTTGTGATTTCACCAATGAAATAAAAATAACAGAATATCAAGGGTTTTAGTTATTCTATTCTAGCAGTGAATATTTGGTGCATGTCATAAATAAAAAATGGGAATATATAGTGTAGATTTCAGCAGCTTCAAAGTGTCCAAAAGCAGAATTTCAGAACTTAAAAATTCACTTTTCTGAGAACATATTTTAGTCCCCATTTGTAATAGAAATCACATTCCAGCCTGCGAAGAGGAAATGCCAGGGCTTGAGCAGCCCTGCTCAGTCCTGACCAAACACATCACTGCAGAAACAGATGTGACATTGCAGAGACCTGCAGGTAATTTTAGATACAATAAAAGTCCCATTCAAGGCGTCCTGTTCCTTTATGGCAGCTTTACTCTGGGTTTGGTATGGATTTGCAGTACCTGAGGGAGCTTTGTGCTGACACTGTGGGAACACCTGGCCAGCTCCTGTGTCCCCAGAGCCCCAGCAAGGCTGGGCTGAGCTGCCTGCTCCTGATGGAGCTGAAAGGAGCCAGAGGGCTGGGGTGGAAATTTTGACAGCTGGGAACTAAGGTAATGTTTCACATACTCGATGAGTCCCTCTGCATTAGTTGTGCCTTGAGTCCGTGGAGCAAGGAGATGCCTTGTTGTAGAGGCTTGGAGAAGGTCAACAGCAGTGGGCTGGAGCTGCCCTGGGGGAAGAGCCAGAGGTATCTCATGGCACTGACACAGTCTGGAAGGGATGGACAAAACTCTGTCTGGGTCTGTGTTAGTAGACAGAGCACAAAAATGTGACAAAGCTGGTCAAACCTGTTCCCTGTACTGGGATTTCAGGAGTTTTTTTGGCATTTGACAAAGAAGGGGCAAGAGTGGTGCTTGGCTGGTCTTCTGTGGTTCTGCTTTCCAGGTATTCTGTGTGCCGCCCTGTGGGCACCTGGGCCCTGGGCCATGTGTATGGATGTGTTTGGATGTACAGATGTGTATGGATGTATGGAGCACAAGGATAATGTCACACATTCTGCAGGTTCTGTTGTCACAGGCTATAGAGGCTGTTGCAGGATGTTTGGGGAGCAGAGGGTTTGGAGTACTAGGACAGGAGTCTCCAGTGAAAGTGGTTTGCTGCTATAGAGCAGGTGCTGGTCACGTCCTGGCAAACAGAAAACAAAAGGCTGTGGGTTTGCTCAGAACTACTCAAAATTTCATCAAATGCAACTAGAAAAAATGTGGTGGTAATAATCTTTATTAGACTAACATTTTCCCTTGCAAATGTGACATGGCATCAGGTGTATGTCTCAAGATGTTGCTTTTCAGGATATATTTTCAGGGAGGAGTGCAGTGCTCCCAAAGTGGCCCTTAATTTCCCCAACGCATGTTCAGTGCACCAGCCTTGCAGAGATCCAGTTGTCCTCAGGCAGGGTGGCATCTGAGCCATGGGGACAGCTGGGAACACTGCTGCCACTTGTCATTCCACCGTGTGACACGGCCCAGCAGCTCTGGAGGTGAGCACAGGTCACCAGGGTTGTCAGACTGGAATAAAAGCAGTTTTGGGGGGCTGCAGCTTCTCCCCTCAGCCATTGTTATGTGGGTGTCTACTGCCTGTGTGTGGCACAGAGGCAAACTATAAATAACTGCATGAGCTATTCCTTCCCTCTGATATCAAGGCCAGAACTGCACATCAGCTTTATTCCTTCTCGTGCCAACCTCCCAGTTCACTGGCAGGCAAAGATATGGCCCTGACATCCAGCAATTCCCTCTGATAATTGTACCAAGGCTCTGCCAGGGCACTGCTGGTGCCCATGGTGAGGACATACTGGTCAGTACTTTTCCAGATGCCACAAAGCTTCCTCAGGGGTGTGTGATGATGTGGCATGAGCACAGATGTAGTAATAACTAGGCTAAGGGCCTTTAAGGACACCAGACATTTTCTCCCTGTCAGATAATTATCAGTCTCATACCCAAGGGCACGTTCTCCATCAGCTCACAAGTGTTTCCATGATTTTTGGTTATTTTATTTGTTCCAGGTCTGGAGGTGTTTTATACTGTGACAAAACATAAACTTAATAATCATGAGGGAAAATGTCAGATCTTTTCCTCCATTTTTATGGATTCCCTTTTGGTCTGGTGTGTCCATTCCCAGGCAGACAAGTTTATGTCTCTGACACAGACTGAGATCAAGGATGACCCTGAGAAGGAGTGGCCTGAATCCTGCTCTATCCCAGGTGCCCAAAGAGCATCAATCCTGCTCCAGCCCAGATCCAGCTCCACACACACAGAGGGATGGGATCCCTGCAGGTAACACCTGCTGAACTGTGGGGAAATGATGTAAAGGCTTTTTCTTTGAGATGCAGACCTGAAGATACTTCTGCAGTGATTTGGTTTTATCCCCTTAAAGCATTTTCACAGGTTTTCGGGAAACTTCTGTCATAAAATTCTCTCATTTTTCTTATTTCCACAGTACTGAAAACAATCTTCTCCAAAGGTAAACGTTTTGGTGAATGCTTCAGTAAAATGAAAGGTGTGTTTTGTGATACCATTCACAGCTTTGAAGACCTCTGAGTTCATGTCCTCAAAAGCAAGTGCAGGAGTATTTTTGTTCAGGCTATTTACACCCCATCAGAGCTCAGAGCTGAGTTAATGTTTCATCTCAGGCTGCAATAAATTAGATAAAAGAGTATTTCCTCATTCCCAGAGTTACCCTTTTACTTTGTTTGCACTGCTCCATTTGCTGATGCAGGAAAATAACATTGCTTAATCACTTTTAACGACTGTTGAGACTATTTTTAAAAACAAAATATATATCCGTACTGCATTTCTTTTGCCGAGATTTTTAAGATGACCAAGCCTCAACCCATGCTAAGTAATGAGAGCTGTCTTCCTGCTGGCAAACCTACCAGCACTGTTTGATAAGTGTAGAAAGATAAACCCATGTGAACTTCGGTGACTCTTCCACCTCATTTTGTTTCACCCATAAACAGGAAAGGCTTGTTTCTTGGACATCAATTATGGAAATTCAGAAGTGCCCTTTGGAGAAGCTTTTCAAGGAGGTCCTTCCCAGTGGAGATACATACAGCCACCTGACAGCTGACAAACCTGTGCCTGAGGGACTCTGCCAAGGAGCAGCTCCCACCCCTGCCATGCTGGAGCTCCTGGGGAAGCACCGTGGCACCGATGCTCACCTGTAACAGCAGAGGACAAGAGCTTCAGGTGAGATTTATCTGCTCTTTCACTCCTCTGCTGGGAGCACGCATTTCCCACATGAATAATATGAAGCCACGGACTTCCATTAGCCAGAGCTCCTCAGCAAGAATTATTATTCTCAAATGCTGAAAATAATAATAGTAAGTGTTGTCCTATAATCAACATCCAGTTACCTCAGCAGCAAAGCACTGGGATGTGTCTGTGTCAGCTCTCTCTGACTGTTCAGGACAAAATGAGAAGCCAAAAGATTTTGAATTTGGTATATTGCTGCAGTGCTTGGAGAGATGCTGAGAGCTGTGGGGGTCCCTGCTGCATCCCCACCTTCCAAGGCACTGTGGCTGTTTAGTGGAGATACTGCTGTGCCCCTGGGCTGGATCCCACTGGTCAGTGCCATCTCACTTGCAGAGAAGCATAAAGCAATCATGGATTAATTTAAAGTGTTTTGGGATTTTTTCCTTAAAAATATTCTTCACCCTTCTCTTGACAGAACAATATAGGCCTAGGTCCTTTGGGAGGAAAGTTAAACTAAAAGAAAGCCTTTTAATTAAGTTTCTTTGATGTTTATGGTGTTCAGAACAGTTCCAAATACCACGCACTATCAGTAGAGATAACCTTCTGTCTCTTGAACACAAAAACTAGAAATTAGTACTTACTGCAGCTCATTTAATGAGTACATCTTGATCTGATTTGCTGACCCTGAGTGTGTAGCATCCAATTAACACAGAATACACTATTATTTCCAATAAATCCTAATCTGGTGTAGTTAAAATACCTGCCCAGCTTTTGACAGTCTCTTGTGTGAATGAAATATTTATTTAACAAGTTAGGGAGCAAAAAGGAGTGACATCATATCAGGTAAGAGCTTTGGCCAGAGATAAAACCACAATTGAGCATTTATCTGAGATAATAGCAGAACATTGTGCACTTAGAACTGAGTGTGCAATTAATTTTTAGTTCCCAGACTCATTCCTTTATCTGATAAGAGGTTACACCGACCTTCTTTTACATTTAAATTGTATTTTTTGTCTTTAAAGTGGAGTTAAAAAACATGAAGACTGGGTGCTGATGTGCACACAGATAAAATGTTTCAGGTTGTCATAGGCAACATCGTAATGAAAGAAGGGAAGGGAAGGGAAGGGAAGGGAAGGGAAGGGAAG